TTACTCTCCTCCGCCACGTATTTTCCCCTCAAAGACTTACTCTCCTCCGCCACGTATTTTCCCCCCAAAGACTTACTCTCCTCCGCCACGTATTTTCCCCTCAAAGACTTACTCTCCTCCGCCACGTATTTTCCCCTCAAAGACTTACTCTCCTCGGCCACGTATTTTCCCCTCATGGTCCCCATAGACGGCCAGAAGATGCCCACACACGTCTCAAACACCAGGAACCCGATGAAGATGAACAGCTGGTTCTGTGGAGGGGAGGAACGAAAAAAGTGACGTGAGAGAAGGAGGGACATGAAGTTAAGTTTTAGTTTTGGTAGAGGTTTTACAGCCCTCGCAACTGCATAAGGTCATATGAGCGCCAGAAAAATAGAGGTGTTACAAGAGAGTAAGGACGATAGATGTTTCATAGAAAAGGAGCAAACTACACCAGAGCACCCACCAACCACCCACTGGTTCTGTGGGGGAGAGAAACGGAAAACATGACATGAGAGAGGAAGGAACACGAAGTTTAGTTTTAGTTTTAGTAAGAGTTTTACGGCACTTGCAACACAATAAGGCCATATAACTGCCGAAGATTAGCGGAGTTACAAAAGAGTAACAAACACAAAAATGAAGGAGGAGAGATCAGAAAGACAAATGTTAGATAGGAAAGAAGAAGCAAACCACACCAGAGTACCCGCCAACCACCCACTGAGAGAGGAAGGAACAAGAAGTGAGAGAAAAAAAGGAACACGAAGTGAGTGAAAGTGAGAAAAAGACTGTGAAGTGAGAGAGAGCATGAGAAAAGGAACAAGAAGAGACAGAGATGGGAACATGAAGAGAGAGGAAACGTTTTAGCTTTAGTAGAAGTTTTACGGCACTCGCAACAGCATAAGGTCATATGAGTGCCAGAAGATTAGAGGTGTTACAAGAGAGTAACAAACATAAAAAAGAAGAAGAAGAGATAATTTAAGATAAAGACGATAGATGTTTGATAAGAAAGAAGCAAACCACACCAGAGCACCCGCCAACCATCCACCTTCAAGGAAAGAAGAAGCAATCAAAACCATATCATCCATCAACCACCCATCCCTGAATTGTCTAAGGGCTCATCTAAATGTACCCATCACAGGCCAACCAAACAAAAAACCAAACCAAACAAAACAAAACAAAACACGAGGCTGTCTCACCCCTTTGTAGACAACTGGCGTGATGAGGCTCAGGGAGGCTACCAGGAACACAACTCTGCCGAGATAAACGAGGTCATCATCATAATAATGATAATAATATAATAATAATAATAATAATAATAATAATAATAATAATAGTTTTAGCTTTAGTAGAGGTTTTACGGCGCTCCTAACTGCAAAAGCTCATATGAGTGCCAGAAGATTACAGGTGTTACAAGAGAGTAACAAAGATAAAAAAAGAAGATGGGGAGATAAGGACGATAGATGTTTGATAGGAAAGAAGAAGCAAACCACACCAGAGCACCCG